AACCCTAAACCTTAAACCCTGATACCCTAAACCCTTCACCCTAAAGCCTATTTAAACCCTAAGCCTAAGCCCTAAACCGCACCAAGCAGCAAGTGCCCGAGGGTCTTGACCTGAAGGTCCCTGAGACTGGTCCTGGGATAAAGCCCAGTCGCCACGAAGCACAATTGTTCCAGTTGCACGTCGTTCAGGGCAGAGGTCAGACCTGGACAAAGTTCAGACCTTCACCATAAGGTTTTAACACTTGGTTTATTCTAGCTTCAAGTGTCATAATAGCCTAGTGGCTGGGGGGCATCTTGTCAGCATTGACATAGGCCATCTGGCGTACCCGCTCCGATCTTGAAACGGAATTTTTCCTGCACAATTTCCTGGAGCCTTGTCGGGCATCGTCGCTCGCTTTCACTTCCGGGCCCAAATATATCCAGTGCTGCTTGATCTTGAGCTGGTCCATCTCCCGATCGCTCAAAGCACTGGACTCACTTCCACTGCTGGAGCTTTCATAAGAATCAGAAGTGCCTCGTGTGGCCCAAATAGTCGTGCTCTCTCTATAAATTTATCCAACACAGAAACATGGCTCAAATATGATTGGTTGCTGTCTAAGAGGCTCTTCTTTGTCTTCTTCTTCTTCCCGCTCTTCTTTTTCGCTTTCTTCTTTGATGACTTGTGCTTGCCACCCTTCTTAGGTTTCTTGCTCTTGTTGGTGGTCTTGCTTGGCCTCGGGTTTCACGACTCTGCACTGGCATGTGACATCCCCGATCATGTGCCGCCAATTCAATGCAAACCCCGAGCCCCCGCCCCACTATGTAACAATATAGCAAAGCATCCGGGCACGACTCGAGGAGGACTCACCTTCCTCTGCCACATCATCCTCATCATCATCGGCGCCGTTGCCATAAGCAGCCATCATTCCGGAGAACGCCGGGTGGGTCCGGGGATTCGGATAGCCGCCAGGCCATGCCAAGGGCACAAAGTCTGCCGGAAGCCCTCGCTTCCCCGGCACGCCTATCTTTTTTCTGGAAGGCATGCCGCCTGCTTGAGCCTGCCGACTCACTGACTTCAGATCCAGGCAGCATCAATCAAGCCAAGCAGCACCTGAATTTATAACATTCAGCGAAGGAATCTACCAGGATTTATTTAGCTCCTTTACTCGTGCCCCGGCACCGAAGAAGCATACTTAGAAACAGCCTGTGATGCGCTTCTAAGACGAGACGCCACCCATGCTCCTGGGCCACCTACCCAACTTACCTGCAGGACCAACAGTTTTGCCAGCCGTACTGCGAGATGTGCAGCTATGCCCCGGCAGCCTCCAGGGCGGTGCTGCGGCATGTGTGCCGGCTGCGCAACTGCGCCTCTTCCCTGAGCTTGACCCTCACGGTGGCCGCAAGCCAGTCGTTTTCACGGTGATGGCACATGGCTTTGAACCACTCAGAGCACAGGGCAACACTGCGTGGTCGCTTTTGGACTTTTGCCGCGAAGCAGCCAATCATGCAGAGGACCGTCTTCAGCGAGTTCACCTCCTGACCACCAGTGTCCCCGGGCTTCCTGCACCACAGTTCCTCCTTACGGAAGGAGATGCTGCGATCGAAGACACCGTCCTGCCCATCGATCTCCGCGGCATTGGCAGAGGACTTCTTCCAGTGAGGCTCAGACCTGGCATGACCACTGACGAAATCCTGGAAGAAGTAGCCAGGCTAGAACCTGGCTCCGCAGCCACGATCACCGACCCCCTTACACGGGACAGGTTCTACTTCCAGGACGCCCATGGTCACATCTATGAGCAGCTTCCATCCTGCCTAACTGCTGTTCAGTGGTTGGTCCTTAGAATGCAGACGCTGTCCATCATGGAAGGCATTGATCCTGTCTTTACTTCGACCTCTACTACAACCATGGCACCACAAGCGGGGGACCAGACCCTCAGCTTTGTGTTGGTGGGGGAAGCGGCTACCCTGCGTCTTCCTGCTGAGCCACTGCCGAGCGCCGATCCTCAGGTCGCCCTGCAAGAGCTGCTCACCGCCTTTGCACGCCTCAGAAGACTTGATGCGCACTTCCATATCCAGCTTGCACCAGTGTTGCCCAGAACATCTCACTGGTCGCATTTTGTTGTGCCTATATTGGTTGTTCCTCCCTGCAATGATGTCGTAGTCTTCTACGACCCAGGAATCGATGGCACGCAGCTCCACGCAATGCACGTGGATCCAGGTACCTGGGCCGATGACCTGCTGACTGCACAGCAGAGAAACCGGGGCATCCAGCTCTTTGTGAATGGGGTGCACTCCGGAGCGTGCCGGAGGCCACTCATTACGGGTGATATGGCACAACAACTGCCAGCAGGCAGATACCAAGGCACTGCCCGCCATATGGGCACTCTGCTCTTCATGGTAAACAGGCTCAGGTGCCTCTCTATACCGCTTCAGATCCCACCCATCCGCAGCTACCAGGTTGGTGATGGTTTCGAGGTTCGCCTGACCCAAGGGGGAGCCTCGCTCCAGGCCTTTTTCCAAGATACCATGGAACACCGTGTCGAGCGAATGGGCCGGCCAGCTCGGGAGAGCAAGCTCATTATGCTACTACAGCCTGGCCATGCACCGCACTTGCTCTGGGTGCCCACACGCCTTACCCCGAGCCTCAGGGAGGCCGAGATCCTACTTTCCAGGACGGGCTTCTTTGGCCCACACCAGCTCCTGGTGGAAACCGAGTCTGAGGTGGAAACCAGAGGAGAAGTCTTCCTGGTGGTGCCCTCAGGAGCTACGTTCACCACATGCACAATCCGGGACCCTTTTGATGTCATGCACTTTCTCCTTGTCCACCCCCCCAGCGAAGGAGTTCTGGCGCATACGTTGCCCCACCGGGCTGGGGCTATTTATGTGCCGCCGCTTCCCTCACCCCTTCGCAATGGGATGCACATCTCTGACAGCCGGCTTCACGCGGCACGCCGCCCATCTACAGGAGCACAGTGCCCTACCGGCCAGGCTGCAGCAGCCCTCCCAGATGCAGGCCCGTCAGGTAGTGCACAGACATCACCGGCCAATGAAGTGGCGCCACCGCCAGTGACGGAAGGTCACAATGAACAAACGGAGCCTGGGCTGGCTATGGCGGCCTCCGCTGCGCGTCCATGGACACAACGCTTTCGGGGCCCCTGCCCTCCACTGCCTCTGAGGCCATGTCTGCCACGGCAACCAGCGATGCAGATAACGGCCGGACCAGGCTAAGGGACGGCACATCACTTGTGCACATTCCAGATCCACAGCATGCCTTAAGGCTACGTTGCAAGCAAGCCCAGCAGCGAGCAGTGCCCCTTGAAGGTTGTGCAGGTTTAGGATTTACTGCTGTGCCCACGCCTCTAGGCCGACGGGCCGTGTCCCGCCAGGTTGAGGCTGACAAGGCCGAAACCGAAATGAGGCCCATGCAGGCTCCCTCCGTCCACTGGGCGCCGCCGGACCCGGCCAGGCATGGGACAACACATCCTCTGCCCGCACCGACAAAGGCCGCAGCCACGACGATCTGTCTCCAGCACGCCATCCCACCGCCAGCTGCTGCCATCTCCTGGGAAGTCAACCAGGACATTGTGACAGAAGCCTTGCAAGGTCACTGTCTGACTGGCCTGCAAACCGAACTGCCAGGGCCTGTCGCGCAAACGGCTTGGGGCAGAATCTGGGGCCGGCTGCCCACACTCATCCTCCACCAGCCTGTGCAGGCCATGTATCTGTTTACAGATGGCTCCTACTACCCAGGGAAGCAGCAGGCGTCTTGGGCAGTCATAGTGCTGGTTCAGCAAAACAACCAGGTGTACAAAGCAGGTGTCATGGCTGGCCCCTGTGCTCTCCAGCCTGCGGATACACGACACACCCCGTCTGCATATGACGGCGAGCTTGAGGCTCTTCTACATGCTTTGGCCATTGGGGTTTCCGTTCCCGTGGGTGAGTGCCACTTCGGATCTGACTGCCAATCAGCTCTGACTGCAGCCTTCGGCTTTAGCGGCTACCAACACGGAGCACAACTCCCGGCCGCTGCCGTTGGCCTGACAGCCACCTTGGTTGCCCAGGGCAAGCAGCTCTACCCACATAAGGTCGAGGCACACCAGGGATGTGCTTTTAATTCCCTGGCAGATGAGATTGCTAAGCATGCTGGCAAAACCGGCCAATCCCTACCGGCTACCACGGATTGGGGCGTCCTGCAGGATGCGATCAATGAAAAGGTGCTGGAGAGGGCCTGGCTCTCAGTTCCCGGCTCTATCTTTGCGAGCATGCTTCCTCCACTTCGCGAAGACGGCACACGGTCCACACCGAATACCATGGTACGCAGCTCCGCTCCCAATGTGTTACCCCAATACCTGCAGCAGGTCAAGGCGGACGTAAAGGCAATTCCTCTGCAGTTGCGTCTTCTTACATATAACGCACTCTCTGTCCGAGGGGCCACTGCCAAGGCCCTGATCTGCTCAGGTCTGCTCCGGCACCGGATTGACCTGGCAGGTCTGCAAGAGACAAGGGGCCGAACACAGGGCATATCCAGCTTCGAGGATTACTGGGTTCTGGCTTCGCCTTGCGATAAGGGTGGACACTTTGGGGTGCAAATCTGGCTACGTAAGGCAGCCGGCTGGGACCGCACCAGCTTTGCGGTCACACATTCCGACCCGCGGGTGCTTGTTGCCGTCTGCTCGCTACGGGGTGTCAGGCTAGTCCTGATTTGCGCACACGCGCCCACCTCAGCCACCAGCGAGGAAGAACTCACTAGATGGTGGGCCCACCTTAAAAGCCTGCTCGCAAAGGTACCCAAGGTTTGCGCGCCACTTTTGTTCATAGATGCGAATGCCCGGTTTGAGGCACCGCCTACTCACGGCCGGACTCTTGATTCAGTGCCGAGCAATTTCAACGCCAAGTGCCTACGGCAGTTTGCGAATGACATCGGCCTGCACATCAGCGCACAACAAGATGAACAAGGACGACCGCTCCACTCCTGGCGCAGCCCCAAAGGCACCACCAGCCTGATCGATTATGTTGGCTGCCCAGTCGCATGGACAGACGGCCATCGGACCCTCGGCAATGTTGACCTCGCAGACCTTCATGCTGATTGGGATCACTTGCCGATTCACACCTGCCTTACAGCCACTGTGGAGGCCGCGATCACATCAGCCAGAGACAAAATCGCCCCGAAAGACCTCCAGTCCAATGAAGGGCGAATCCGGGCAATCCATGCAGTTGCGTCAGCCCCTTTTGTGCCTTGGACAGATACATGCACCTCTCACGTAGATGCATTGCAGCGCTCGATGGTCCAAGCCCTGAGCTGCTCCAAGTCTGAATCCAGACCTGGACCACGTAATCCGGTGATCTCCCAAGCCACACCTGGGTTGGTCAGGCTCCGCAGGCACATGAGGCGTTGCCTTCGCGCCGTTGACCGGAGGGCTGACATGGGCTTTCTCCATCTTTGCATGCAGGCATGGCGGCAATGTGCCCAGCCACAGGAGGAGTTCTACCGGCGGGCAAAATCCGCACGTCTCGCCATGGCGCGCAGTTACCACGGGCTCGCTGTTCTCAACAAACAGCTGCGGCAATCTATGATGGACGACCGGGCACAGTTCACCAGAGTGCAGATGGAACAGGCCCGACAAGCTGGCCCAGCCGAGTTTGCGCACCGCCTCCGGGCGATCCTCCGTACTGGCCGCAAATTCCGGCCTCCACCACTGCTCCCTGCCCTTACCCGAGAACCCTCGGCGCCCTGTCTGATTGAGGATGTCAAGGACACCTTCGCAAGGCATTTCGCCGCAGCTGAGAAGGCAGTGGAGACCAATGCGCAAAGCCTCATCATTGAGGACACCGCCTGCCCTACCGGTGCTAGATGGGACGGCACGGCACTTCCTTCCATTGCGGCCCTGACCAATGGGTTCGCATCTCTGAAAAGGGCCAAAGCGGCAGGACTGTCCGGACTGCCGTCAGAAGCCTACCTCGGTTCCCCTTTGGCGGCAGCGCTCCGATACTGGCCAGCCATCATCAAGGAGCTCATGCGTGACAGAACCGCCATACATTGGCGAGGGGGTGAAGCTGTCCCCATCCCCAAGCCAGCCAAGGCTACGGACGCCTGCACCGGATATCGTCCGATCGCCCTCCTCGAGACCGACAGCAAGGCGGTGCAGAAGGCCTTGAGACCAGCAGTGGTCAAGGCCCTCCAGACAGTGCAGATGCCCGACCAATACGGCGGCAGGCCGGGCTGCACACTCGGGCTACCCATCGCCTGTGTCAAAGCCCACTTCGACGCCCTCAAGCGCGATGGCAAGTCTGGAGCAGCCATTTTCTTCGACTGCACCACGGCCTATTATGCTGTCATCAAGGACATGCTGACGCTGACGGATGACCAGCGAGATGACACGCAGCTTCTGCAGCATAGAGCGCGCCTGCTCTTCACAGAGGGTGATCAACAAGAGGCATTCATCAAGCATATGCAACAGGGTGAATTGGCTACCGCTCTTGGAGCTACTCCCGAGCTCCGGGCGCTCATCCGCCAGCACCTCACGGACACTTGGTTCGTTTGCCGCCGGGGCACAGGCCAGGTCTACAGGGCGGAGTGCGGCACCATTCCAGGTGCCCCACTTGCAGATGCTCTTTTTAGCCTTGTCTTTGCCGGGATCCTTCGTGAAGTCAAGGCACAACTGCAGGAGAAAGGCTGGGAACCACAGTTCTGCAGACGTCAGGGTGGTGAGGGGAGTACCCCCACCTGGGCCGATGACACCTGTGCCTTGGTGTCCACGACCGAGGCGGCAGATGTGATACCTGCCATACGGGCCACCACCACCACCATGGTTCGGTGTCTGTCAAGGGCGGGTCTCTCGGCCAACTTCGGACCCGGCAAGACTGAAGCCATGGTTGCATACCATGGGAGAGGCTCTCGGGCCTCCAGACTGGAGATTTTATGCCGCGAAGATCCAGTCATCACCCTCCCGCACGGCTCCATGCTCGAGCACATTCGTGTTGTCCCCGAGTACCTCTACCTGGGAATACTTCTTCGAGCTGATGGACAGGAGCTGCCTGGGCTCAAGCACCGCCGGACACAGATGCAGGCGATTTTCCAACCCTTGCGGGCTAAGCTCTTGTGGAACAACAGCCTCACCAAGAGCGAGAAACTGGACCTCCTGCGAGGTAGGGTCCTGAGCCGCTTCTTGTATGGCGCAGGCCATTGGATCCTCCGAACCGAACAAGAACAGCAGGCGTTCCGTGAAGCCATCTCGGGAGTCTACAGAGGCTCTTTTAGGGCCATCTTGGGGGTGTCATCCTGTCGCTTCTCGTGCGCGGAGACGGCGGCGGCCCTAGAATTGCCATTACCAGACGAGTGGCTGGTAACTGAGCGTGCCAAGCTGCTCGTTAGGCTATGCACCCACAGGCTTAACGGGGTCCTGGGGGAACTGCAGCATGAGGCCAGCTGGTGGAGCTCTGCGTGCAGGCACTTGGCCAGGCTACAGTTGCTCGACAACAGTGCGGCGGGCCCCGATGAAGTGCAGGGGCAGCTTGCCGGCAAGGATGCTCAAGTGCGCAATGCCTGTCGACTGTTTCTGCGGAAGGCCTGCAGGGGCCGCCGGCTTCCGCCTGAATACATCAAGGAGCGCGCGAAGGCAGGTCCGATCCAGGTTTTGGCTCTAAAATGTGACCGGCTGCCCTTCGCCTGCGAGGTTTGCGCAAGCGCTTTCAGGTCGAAGAGGCTCCTCAGCATCCATAGGGCCAACTCCCACGGGCTTTTAGCCGAACACCGGCTGGTGTCGTTCGGTACCGCCTGTCAAGTATGCGGGATGGAGTTCTGGTCCGAGTCTAGGTTGTCGGGTCACTTAAAGCATGCTCATGCCTGCCGTGCAGTTTACCGTGAGTCCGACATCTCTAGCGAAGCCACTCCCGCTCCACTTAACCAGGGCGAACATGCCTGGATACCGGCGCAAGTCTTCCACGGCCCCCGTCCGTGGTGGGCCACGTTGCGGCCGAAGGGCTAACACGGTCCCTTTTCTTCTCTGGCCTGGCCATAGTTTTTAGGTGCGCTCTGCAAGTAGCGTTTTTGCCTCTCGGACATTTGCAAGCGAATTGACCTTGCGCGACAAGCCCTAGCGAGCACGTTGAAAAATAGGTCCCTATTATGGTAGCTTTTAGGCTCCGTAACAAGAACTCGGGCATTGGTCGCATCGACCCCTCAGTTTCCGGTAGCTTCGAAGCCCGAAACCCAAAACCTAAACCAGACGACACAGCCCCGGGTTCGATGTCCCTGCTTCTGCATACACCTAACATAACATAGCATAGCATAACATGATATAACATAGCATACCTTAACACAACATAACATAACATGCCACGACATGACATTACATAGCATAGCATAACATAGCATAACACAACATACATACACACACATACACAATACATACATGCATACATACATACATACATACTTACTTACATACATACATGCATGCATACATACATACTTACATACATACGTACATACATACATACATACATGCATGCATACATACTTAAATACATACATGCATACATACATACATACAAACATACATGCATGCATACATACATACATACATACTTACTTACATACATACATACATACTTACATACATACATACATACATGCATACATACATACATACTTACATACATACATACATGCATGCAT